GAATTTGTAACACGTAAGCAATTAATTTTACAAAAAAGGTGTGGTATTTGTCTCCAGAAATAATAATAATTCTAGGCAACAAATTAAGTTGAGGTAAAAATTAATAGAACTGGTATGGTCGCAGTTACGATGGCCAGTTCATACTGAGTACCTTCTCTCAAATCATGAACCCGCCTGTATTCATCGCTATGGTTATCACAAGTGCACTGTTCATTGGAGAAACAGTAGGCCGCCAATTTGGAGAAAAAAAACTTACGTATCTGTTAATAGGCTTTACATATTTTCTTGAATTGTTATAGAAAATATATTAATTTTTTACTGTCTGTCGAAAGGCGTCATTAAAATGTATAAACTCTTATTCCCACTGGCTTCTGAGATTGTGAATTAAGAAGAGAATTATTTATTTTAAATCCCTAATTACAAAACATTGGTTGATGATGCATACCTGTAGATACACAAATATAGTTACGTTGCTAATATTTAATAATATTGATTGAAATTAGTTTAGAAACAGCACTTGGACACACAGAATCTTAACATTAATCTTTTAGTCAGCGTTGTAGTGTTATTCTCCAAAATAATTAATTATTAGTAATTTTAAAGTGAACTCAACATATCAGTAGTAGTACAAACGTACATAAAATTAACTTGAGGTTACATATATCCAAAATTCGTCACGTTTGTTATTGCAAAGATGAGAGATCTTCTGAGTTTACAGACGTAAACGTCTGTTAAATGACACAACAACGTTACGAAATAAAAATAAAAAAAACAAACAGCGAATTATTTTAGCGTTTGGTGCAATTTAAGAATGATGGTAATTGGTGAATCTTATATAATCGTTTCATTTAAGTATGCATAGCAACCGATTCCAAAGAAACATGAAGTAATATTTCATGAAATTTTCCCGTCCCTACTAATTATAAGAACATCACTTTAAAGTCAATTAAGATGGCTACGTAAGAAACTGTATATTTTTACCCACGCATTTAAATCTTATTGGCGAAAACCTTAACCTATCCTTGTCAAGGTATTACTCATCAATTTCAACTTGCCAATTCAACTACGAACTTTAGCTCGTGGTGTGCAATGTAATGAACAGCGAGTCCAGAAAGACACAAGAACGTGACATAGGAAACGCAATAATTCATTTAATTTTAATAATACAATATAAGAAATGTATCTTTCGCTTCAAATTTTCTTTACATTTAAATTTTTTGGAAACTTGTGAAGAGCTGTTCGGTGGCTCAGGATGACAAAACGTTTCATCGCCCGAAGTTCCTCACAAAATTTCAGACCGTTTCCATAGCAACGCGTCCGATGTGGCCAATCGGACACACAGTCCAGCGTCTGGTGCTGCACACCGCGGCTAGTCCGTCAATTGTCTACCATGCAGATAAAGATACTAGCTCCGTGTACAACAATGGCGTCAAATCATTAACTCTTACATTAGAGGTTGCAGTGGAGCCCTTTGTCTACAGATACATTGACACAGAGACAGTTAATTTGATACATTACTTATTAAGAATGGCCCCAGTCTGCTTCCACATACGCTTTTTCTATAGTAATACGATGGGTTTTAGTTTACTACAATTATTTTATGTATATGAAAGTTATTACTATGTTATTACGCACAATGCTTCTAACACAACATGAACAACATCAATCAGAACTATGTAGCGCCACAAATAACACCGACGAAAATACGTTTTTATTCTAAACCTAAGTAAAGTTTTTTGTTGATTTTTTTATTTAGTTTTATATGTAGGCTATATTATAATTGCTTAATTTGATACATCATAAATTAACTTGTACCCACCGTATACTACGTTCGAGAATGATAATTTTCTTTGCTGTAATTCGTATACGTCTCAATATTCTTTATGTACAAACTTAGAACCGAAACATTTCTTTTCAAAAAATACGCCACATCCATCAGTTTCCTGCCGAGGCTCGGGGTAGGAGGCTGAAAAAAAATGAACGTTGTGTTGTACCAAAACGTCAAATTCTCTTTAACTCTTGACTTTTAACGCCAATCGGTTTTTGAACGTTGCATAATATTTTGGCATCATAACGGGGCATTGTATCCTAATCAGCACCATACAGAAATTGTTATCCAACAAAAAATTTAAGAACCACACAAACATCTGGATTATAAAATATTTTCTAATCTGAATGGAAATTTTGGATTTTAAAATGTGTTTGGACTGATGCTAATATTTGAGACTCTGGGTTTGGTGCCAGATGCATACAGACAACTACACTGACACGGTTGTTCAAACGACGAATCTAAGTTGTCAAAAAATAATTTATCAAATATCTTTCTTTCGTCTACAATTTCAATTTAGATATTTAGTATCTGAAACCAAAACAATACATCGATTTAGCAATGGTGTATAGGAACGGAAAACACCTCGATCTGTGTGAGTTTTCGGAATCGCTGCCTGTGAGTTGATTTCGTGCAATGGCTCTTGTCACTAAAGGTAGCCATGTATATACAAAATGTTGCATAGATCTGTTCTTCTTTAACACGTGGCAGTTAGAATATAGGCCATACCGAGTAAGTAAATAAAAATATTCCAATAAATAAAATTTAAACAGACATTTAAATAAAACTCCTTTGTTATCCACAGTTATGTGAAATGCTTTTAAAGCGTGATTAATATTTTAAATATGACAATTAAACGCAGAAGCCGAAAGCTTCTCAATTACAATTTTTTTTAAAAAAATATTTCAACCAGTTCCATTTCTCGAAGTGTTCTGTTTTCGGTTTGCCCGAAGGAATCCGAGCAAAATGAGAAGAATCCTAATGTGTCTGATAACGTTTTTAATGAACTGGGACTGGAAATTATGCATAAAATGTTAGTAAATATATTTAAAAATGTTGATCAGTCTTGTAGTCATTTTTCGACAAGCTGACGCTGAAGTCACAGAAGGTTCAGAAAAAGCAACACTCAAATTTTCAATAAAACGTATTATACAAGGTTTAGTACACAAGTTGTTAATTCCTTTAGAACCCATCACATCTGACACAAAGAAACCTTTTAAATGCAAAAGACTGAGTTTATTAGCAAATCAGGTGATTCAGATTCGACCGTTAATTAAGAAAACAAAAGAAGATTATATATTCGGCCTTTGCATACATTGTAAATTTCATATTATATAAGAACTTACTGTTATAATCGGTTTATGATACGTTGATTAATGAATAATGAAATCTGTATGAAAATTCGCGGTCAAATGCAATGAATGTACTGTCCAGGTATATTCCTGGAAGAATTTATAAAACCACGGAAATCTGAGTCACGATAACCGATCTTGGGGCCACTTGAGAATACGAAAGACATGTTTTAACATATTTTGATAATCTGAACTAAAACCTAACGACGGGCTGATCACTCATCCAAGGAGTCTGACCAGTGTATAAATAGATTAAGAAACCTCCCATGTGTGAGGAGGCCAAGGTCCTTCAAGGACTGTAGAGCCATTGATAATAGGCTAAAATAATTTTTGAAAAAAAAGCATTAAGAGTTTAGTTTATAATTTTTCAACCACTTGGATTTGCAGTGAAGCCCTCCTGTTAATAGCGCTCCTTGGGTTCGTGAAACCGTCCACATTAACGGAGACGGAGCACAATCACTAGTTGTCTGTATGCATCTCACGTCTATTTGAATTTAATTATAAATAAAAAATTCAAGCTGAATCGAAAGAATGTCATTTGAACTTCTGTGGGATAAAATGTAAGAAGCCTCAAAAGGCTTCAACAGTTTGTAATAATCCGTGGCGTAACATGAAATCATGAACCTGTATAGGGCGGCGGAGAGCGGTCTACGTCAAGGACATATGATCTAGGTCTTCCATCTTGAACGCTAGCCGACAAATCCGACAGATTCTACAAACGTTCTTCTGGTGGCGCTGTAATACAATCCCTAGCTATCAGGCATTTGTCATTCAGTGTTAAAAACCAAATACAATTTTAAACGTAGCCATCTCAAATGCGTATATATTCATGATACGATACAAAGAAATGGCATTTATGAAACAATAAATAACTTAAATTAATTAGATAATGACGTTTCACTACTACTCCTGAGTTTAAAATTTCGTATTTCAGTCCATTATAATTTCGCCATTAGCGAACGTGCTCTTTATATTAATTATATGTATGTATCTGTTTTGTTACTACATAGGCCGTATTCACATCTCTTAATTAGCTTCCACGCAGCTAGCACAATGCCATTTCCTCTTATTACTGCTACACTCTGTTCTTCATTACATTATCTTTGCAATGAATATGCATTTTTGCCCAGTACACAGAGTGTCGTTGTGGGAGTAGGGGGGATCAAAGTAAATGATTAGGGGAATATTTTGTTTTCTAGCTGGAGGCTCGGATAATACTTATGTGAACATTCCCTTTTCATTATGTTCAATCTCGACGTCAAACGAGTTAGCAAGTTGGAGAAGAAATTCTGGTTTATATTCGTCGTTTTTGAAATTCCTGACTGAGATTGAATAATTTGACGGAATGACTGAGTAAGTGAGGTACAACAGTAGACGAAATAAAAAATAGATACAATATAAGATCTCTTTTGTTTTCAGTTTGCGTTGCTTTCTTTCTAGGTTTGGTCATTCTCCCATTTGATGTTCTCTATTAGCGTCCTCGGGCCCACCGTAGTAGTGCATCCGCCAAAACGTCTAAGTGCGCTTTCGTCTGTAACAAACAAAGGAAATAAACAATTATAAAAACAGCTTCAGCCAAGTGCAGCAGGCACACGTCTGCCTTGTAAAAATTATATGTATTATTTAAACAGCAGTTGGAATGTTAATAAACACAGTTAATGAATAACTCCGGGTGTCGACATTAAACAGCGTAGAATGATGGTCTTCCAACATTTAAGCAAACACTGCAGTTATCGTCATTGGGTTGAATGTCTTTGGCGGGAATAGGAAAAGTTCTTATATAGATCAGGTCATGGACTATGAGTGGGAGGCGAACGCGTGATTGGACAGAACAGCGGGTTGTATCAGACAGGGGAAACCAGCGAACTTGGTGAAAATTCAAGGACAATAAAAATTGTCCACTCTCGATACTATCTATTCTTGGCATTCTTTTTTGGCTTGATTTTCTTTCCTTGAACGCAAAATAAACTTATAAAGTCGTTCACACACACACACACACACACAGAGCTTCATGACTTTATAATATATGTTATTTTTTCAGATTGTGAAATAAGAGACCGATTTTTACATAATTTGAAATGAAAGATATGAAATTAATGGCCACCCACCCTCGTATTTTTCAGTATTCTCGTACAACCGGTAATAAAACATGGCAGACATAAGATAATGTCATGTGTGGTAAATTATAGCAAGTCTGAAATGGTGTCTTAACAGATCTTCAAAAAGCATGCAAGAATCATTACGGTGTAGGATTTGAAGTTTTCACGGCGGTGAGTCCGAGGATGGATGTCTTCTCGGTCGCTTTACCGTGTAGTCTGGTACCTCCATCAATAGGGCGATAACGCCCTGATGATGGAGGCAGCAAGGACCCCTGAAACGTTTGTAAACATCTACCAGATTACGCGGCGTTACAATCCAGATGACAGCAATATTCATTACAGTGGCTTTTTGTAAAGAGGTAAAAACCAACATGGCAGCTGAACGAAATTGAAGTTTTGTTTTCGGTTTTATGACGATACTTGATGAATCAATGAAATTTTATAGTGAGCTAGATAATAGACACATATATAAATTTCATATGATGTTGTTTTAAAATCAAGAATTATTAACACCACGACGGCGCAAATCTCCGAGCCTGTGTTTAACAAATTTAATGCAGATAAAATATGTACGTAGATTAAAATTAATTATTATTATGATCATAATCTAACCTGCAAAATATTTACAACTGGAAACAATAAAAGTTTCTATTTCGGCTGGGATTTAATCGTGTTAACATCTGCCCACGAGACCAGCACGCTAATCCGTGGTCTACATTGCACTGCATTGTCACAACATAAATCTGGCACAAGCAACACAATATCTGTAGCGCTGGATATCTGTGCCTGGTATTGCTTAATCTGCTGTATAACGGTGATACACTACGCGGGTAACTGACGATAGAATAAATTAAAGTAATAGTAAATAACAATAAATAAATCATTTTTCGAAATGTGGACGCTGATAGATCAGATGAAGTATCAAGAACTCTGGCTGTATGCTTTTAATGCGTCATAACCTACTCACTTTTTGCTGTAAGCTGATCAACAGCCCAGGATTAAAGCTTCCACGCCATGAAGACATGGGATAGCGGAGGCTCCATTCTTTAACTGCGACACTAGATGCAGGTAAGTGGCCAGATTCACTCCCCGGTCACTTTACTCGCAGAGAAAGTTTTTGCGGTATACTGCTTAAAAGGCTCGGTGGGCCCCAGAGTTGGCCTGGACGCGGTAGAAACGAGAAAAATGCAAACAATGCTACTTACGTTAATAAATGCTGTAACTGGTAAATGGATTATTCCCACGTAGGACAGATATAACACTGCAAAAACACGGTATTTATTCTTGTATTTGATTACATGTATCGTTGCTTTATATCGAGAAAATATTTCAATTGAAATTTGTAGGTATTAATTAGATTAATGTGTATTTAATAAAATTTTGTTTTCGTAAGATGAACTTTATTTTATATGAAAAACAATACTTGGATGACATTTTAGATACATTCCCCTAATAGACGTACCAATACCAATAATATGAAGACGGAGATAGAGCTCCATCTCCGAAATGTCGTTTAATATTTTATTTTACTAGACGATGGATAATATCAAAGAAATTTTTTATTCAAATGACCAATAATATTGATTACACATTTTGCTTAATTTTGCTCCCAAACTTGATTAAACATCTGCGTAAATTTCTACATAAGATATGAACCGTGCTTATGCTGTATCATTTAGCCCACTGAAGAAAAATGTGCTAGGTTTTGGTGGGGCATTTAAATTGCGTTAAACGAAAGGCAGAGAACAGTGAACAACGAGAGTCGATTTAATTCAGGAATGACACAGAACAGACAAACCATAAATCAAAGCAAGCGAATGGCTCTGAGTTCAACACGTACACTGTAAATTCGATGGGTACATCATAATACTGCAGGTATCTGATCCCCTGCTCCACCATGATGTTATTTTTCTACTTCTGTGTATTTTTTCGCAAACCACGTGACAGGCAGTTCCCATGGAAACCAACTACATTTCAGAATCGCCGTGGGGCTGTGCGAGAAGAGAAAGGGACTGGGCAGATTAAACAAGGATGAGAAGAATAAAGAGACAAAGAGCTTTCGTGTTCTAAACCGAAGTTTCAAGCAGTGATCCACAGACATTGTCCCACAGCTGTCTCGTGGTATGAACAACAGTGGCATTTCAATATACGTACGTCATTTCCTTTTCAGTCTTGTGAAGAGGTGGTTCATATCGAAGTTGATAATGTTCTTTGTGTCTTTGAACATTTTAAATTGGTTTTGCATTCAAAGACAATGCAATATATTGCTTAACTATCAGTTCCATAGTTGGACGACCATGATACACGACCATACAGTCATTCACTGATTAATCAGTCGATCCATCGAACAAAACCTTACATCCACTGATTGGTCCATCCATTCATAGGTCCCCGTTTATGTCAATATATTCATCATTCCATTAATTTATCAAACCATCCATCCACTCATCCATCTTTTCATGTAACTTACAATTCCATCCGTTATCTACGCATTCACGAATTTATCTATCTACCCATCCATTCTTCCATCCATCGATTCTTAAGTACAGAACATACTGAAGAAGGAACCAAAAAAGTTTTCCGTCCGTCGAGTGACTAAATGATTTCTTTGTGCGCACAAAAATATACGTTTCTTCACACTTCTTGCAGGTACTAACCTCACCTTATTTTGTCTGTAGGCGTGTCTCTATTGTGTATATTCATCTAAACGCCCTCTGCACACAACAGCAGATTCCATTACTCTTGCAGCTTGAGTGGAAAGCAATTACGAGAAATCTATGCAACATTTTGGAAGCGTGGGTTGGACCGACTGTATATGAGTGCTTCTCGACGGCTTTCGACCTGGTCACAAGGTTCAGGTCCGGTTCTCAAGAGTTGCCAAGCAAATCTTACAGACTAATGAGTTGGTTCAGGCCGGTCTCGCAATGGCTAAAGGGTAAAACGTGATAACACTGAACCTTTCCCATACAAACTTCTCCTACTGCCGCCAACCTGTAACCGAAGGCTGTTCCCACTCCGCTACTGCGATTGGCTGTTGTATGTCCCAGGGAAGGTCAAGCTTCATATGGAAAGAAACGAGGTATAACAACAACGCTCCAGGCCATCGATTGCGTGTGGTATATGCATGAGTCTAGCGCGCTGCAAATACGACACGTGTTTCGGAACATATTACTAAGAAACTGCACAAAGTTTGATTAACATTCATTTTAGTGTT